ATTAAAGAAGTAATTGAACCTGGGGGGAAAACGGGAACCAAAAAAAATTTTTTTCAATTGAATAATTTGGAAAAGGAATTTGGGGGTGGGGGGAATGGAATGGGTTGGCCCCTTTAAGGGAAATATGGGGTTTTAATTTTTGGTTTACCAAAGAAAAAATTTCCTTACCAACTTGAAAAGGGATTGGGGGAATACTTAAGGGGGTTTGGGGTTTGATAATGTGGGAGCAAGGTTAACCGGGGTTTTTTTTGGGTTTTGGGGGGAGGGGGGGTAAAGGTTTAAAAGATTAGGGGGGGAAGGGTTAGGAGTACCCCCCCCCCCCCCCCCCCCTCTCGAGCTTCGTCGGCGGGCCCCCGATGGCGAGCTCTGCCACGCCTTTGCAATGATACGAGGGAAGCGGTGGAACGAACGAAACTTTTAATTCCGTAAGGGCACGAGCGTATATTGAGATTGAGGTTCTGCGGTATTCGGCAGCGCACGGCCGTTCCAGCTTGTGGGCAAGCAAACGCACTCAAACGTGTTTGCTCCCTTCCAAGAACCAGGCAGAGATAACCCGGCAGTTCGGACCACAGGCCATACGCACGAGACCGACAGCACCCCCCTCTCTCCTTTTCGATGTGCAGATGCTACGTTACTGGCTGCCCACGGATGTTCCAGACTGTAGGCAAGCAAGCACACTCAAACGTTTTTGCTCGCTCAAGAAAAGACTGAAACTATCTGACATTTCGGACCGACAGAAGTGCCTCCTCTCCGATGCTCCGTCCTCTCGAGGACGCGGCGCGGTCTAACCGCAACGTCATGCAAACCATAAGAGTACCCCCCCCCCCCCCCCCGGCTAAGTGTTCCGTCCTCTCGAGGACACGTGGTGTCCATTGTCGAATCCCTTAAGGCGGGCAAACATGAGTACGCCCCGGTAACCTCGGCGGTGTTGGTTGGAATGCCCCACCCCTTCCTTGCAGGTGACGAGAGAAGCTATCAAGGCGACGCTTCCTGGCTCTCCGGTGCTGGCAGAATTTTCCGGGAAGTTTCCGAGGAGGGATCTCATGCGCGTGAGTTGTTTTTGTTGTTTCCGCGGAATTTTCCGGGAAGTTTCCGAGGAGGGATCTCATGCGCGTGAGTTGTTTGTGTTGTTTCCGCGGATGGTTTAGGCGTGTGGTTTCGAGCACTTTCGTAAAATACACATGAAATCGCAGGAAGATTGCCGGTTGGAGACAGTATACCACAGCGGTCGAAGGTGTGTGTTGGAATGGAAGTCTTTGCAGCGAGGGGGGGAAAGAAGGCGTGCTGGGGACTCTTGTGGTCGGCTGTGGTAACGGATGGGGGCCGTACTCGCATGCATTGGACACGTTAGACTTAAGGGGCTCTTCCTCGAGAAGGGGCATCGAGAATGGGAGGTGCGAGGCGGCAGTGCACTGCTGTTCGTTTCACTTGGGTCTTGCTTGCACCTGTTGGTGTGTTGTGTGTTGGGCCTTGGCATCTGACATGACCGCTTCCGTGCTTGTCTGTCTGTCTGTCTGTCTGTCTGTCTGTCTGTCTGTCTGTCTGTCTGTCTGTCTGTCTGTCTGTCTGTCTGTCTGTCTGTCTGTCTGTCTATCTATCTGTCTACCTGTCTGTCTGTCTGTATGTCTCCTACTCCCTCGGTTCTTGCGGCAGGAACTGACCCGTTTCGGAGAGATGGTGCCCCTCTCCACCATCTTGGAGCAGAGCAAGAAGGTAAACGTGAAGATTGAAAAGCTGCTTAACTTGCAAATTACTACCGTTTCTTCCATTACTTTCCCTGTCGTCTGGCGGACTGGAAAAAGCTTCAGATCGATCATTCATCCCGAGCCATGGCACAGCGAAACCTGAAAGTGCAATTCTAAATAACTCATCTTTCTGCATCGACGGGTAGTGTGTTAGCAAAATTGTCACGCGTTGTTTCAGTATGGTCAGCGTTTGTGTGTTGGCACGAAGTCTCACGTTGTTGCCTTGCTGTCCTTCTCTAGCACCCAAAACGTGGTTGGTGTTGGTGTTTTGGCACGATTCGCACGTGTTATCGCTAAGTTGTACTTCTGTAGCACCCAAACCGTGGGTGGCGTTAGACCCGTGGGGCGATTTCCGAGTTTTTCGTTCTCGCTGACCGTTGGAGCTCGAGAGAGCGGTTGTGTTTTTGGCTGCGCGGCTTTGCCAAGCGACGCTGTACTGCTGCTGTATAATTGTACTTGTTTGTCGTAGTTTGTCTACCGTTCTACGGTATTTTCAGGGCTCCAGGTAAAGGTTTTGCAGACTAGTGGGATAGGAAAGCAGCGTCACGCGAATTTCTTTTGTGGCTCCGCATGGGTCTGAATCAGCGACACGGGAACGTATTATCTTTTAGTGTTGTTGATTTTTTTTTTTGTGTGTTCACGATTTTTTGTGCACGTTTGGCACAACCCCGTCTGTAATCCGCTGACTGCATCAACCGATACACCACTCGCTAACCCGCCCGTACAACCAAAACGTGAGCCCCTCTTCTCTCTTGGTAGGTACCCTCCTTCCTAGCCCTTCTGATGTGCCCCCTTTCTTTCTCCCTCACTCCCGTTTTTATCGCACCCTCTTGTTCCCATGCCGTGTGCTGTGCCTCTTCTCGTCGCTTGACAAGCACAAGCACAAGACCTTGATAGCTGTGTTGATGCTGTTTTTACGAAGGGACCTCCTAGTGCAGGTGAAGGCCTTGTCGCTTGTTGTTGTTGTTGTTGTTGATGTTACATTGGTGGTGGTGGTTGTTGTTGTTGTGGTGGTGGTGGTTGCTGTTGTTGTGGTGGTTGCTGTTGTTGTTGTTGTTTCATTGGTGGTGGTGTTTGCGGCTGTGGTTCTCGTTGTCGTCGTTTAAGGTCTTGCTGATTGATTGTTTGTCCCCCCCCCAATCTTGTTCTCACCTTCAAAAGGCGGCCTCCTGGCAGTCCTCGAGGAACCCTTAATCGGATGGAAGGACAAACGCCGGCTTGCGAAACAACAACAAAATACCACGCCCCCCCTCCCGATTGTCCGTGGTACACGTTGTCCGTGGTACACGTTTCGTGCCGGAAGCCAACAAATAGCACGTAGCTTGACCAAACTAACACACGGGCACGTAAGCACAAGCACACAGATACACGATTTTTTTGTCTTCTTTTTTGCTCTTTTTTTGCGCCCCCCCCCCCCCCCCCCGGGGAAATAAAGGGCTTGGGAAAGTGCGACAAAAAAAAAAAGAAGGGGAAAAAAAAAAAAAAAAAAATTTAAATGTGATTGGGGCTTTCAAAGGGAAAAAAGTGTTTCTGTTATCCCGGAATGTCCCTGGGACCAAAAAGAAAAGGAAATGTACATGAATGAACTGGGAAAAAAAAAAAGAAACTAAAGGGAAAAGTTTTAAGGATGGAATAAGGAGGAAAAGAAGGGAACGGTACTGGGGAATAAAAAATGGTTTTAAAAAGGGGGAAAGGAAATCCTTTAGAAAAACAAACTAAGGAAAAAATTTTTTAACCCCCTTTTGGAAAATAAGAAAGAAACATTGGGCATCCGTGAACCGTCCTGGGGGAAAAATGGTCCCTCCTCTCCAGGAAGCGTGGTCCATGGTCTATGAACGCTAAAGGATGGCAAAAATAAAAATACCCCCCCCCCCCCCCCCCCGG